TATACTATATACTATATATATGCTGAATATATACTATATATATGCTGAAAAAATATATGTATATATAAAATATATGTGTATAATATATGTGTATATAATAAAATCAATTACTTGCAAGCAAAATCAATTAAATTATCAGTAGTATCAGATATAAAATAGAAATTGACACAGAAGCCATATTATATGGTTTATAAATAAAGATCAAATCTTAGACTCGAATGACGAGTCTTAGAAATTTCTTTCTATACATATCTATTTATTTTATTTCTAAAATAAATAGATATGTATAGAAAGTAATTTCTGAAAGAGATGCATTAATACTTAGTCATATTATTTGATACTGACACTTAAACTGAAATATTTGTCGATTCAATTTATTTTTTCTCGTCCTTAAGATCCTTTACATTCTTCAGTTCGATAAGCTTATTCGTCATAGCCTCATGATACGCATCTAGTAATTCTTGCGTAGATAGTTTAGAGCATATGCTCTTAAAAATATTAAGTAAACTCTCTTTGGATACGTCATCATCTTCAATATGCGCAATTGTGAATTGGGACGTCCACAGTTCGTCTAAAATGCGTTTAGTCATAACGGGGGACTGCTTTAACGCTTGCGCTATGTCTCCCGAGCTGTTATTCTGCAAAGCAATGTCGAGAACTACTGGCGCAGGAATAAGTTCCTCATTTGCTACAGTATGACTAATAATTACGTCCATCGGCAATCTTTGTAACATAGCATTCAAACTCGACAATTCCGGCATGGATTGCTTGATACCTTCTTTTTCTTCCTGCTTTAGCTTCTCTGATAGTATCTCAATGATTTGGGACGATGTGCATTTTTGACAGATTGTGCTTTTTAATTCATCAAAGTCCAAATTGTTTAGGCCCTCGGCTATGTTGAGTTTCTTGCTATATACTTTGAGCACCTTATCAAAGAATTGTTTGTCATGGCTAAAAATGTCAGGCAATTTAAGAAGGACTTTGTTAACGCCACACGCACGGCAGGCTGCTTTTAACGATGCCTCGTTGACTTGTTGTTTATTCTGCAAGCCGAGCATTTTGATCGTTTCCTTCAATAGTTCTCCCTCCTTCAAATGTGCCATCTTCACCTGAAAGTTAATCTTCCGTTTATTTGATGAACAATCGGTACAATCAGTATATGAAAAATAAAATTTACCTTATATTGTAGGAGAATTGCTTCGGGACTGCATCTTCTAACTGCGCTTTCCATCACCTGATTTAAGTCGATTTCGTCCAGCAATTCTGCAAGCGTCATTTGAGACGCAACAGATTTCGTGGATTTTTGAACAGTCGACGTAGTGGAACCGACTTCATCAGTACTGGTACCAATGGAAGAGTGCGTGATTAGAAGTTCATCAATTGCACTTGAAGATACGATAGGATCTTTTGATATGTCCAGACTGGCATTTGAAGATAATGCTTCTTGGCTCGTAGTTCTGCTTAAAGAAATATAATAATTTTTTTATATTTTAAATTATCCATATAATAAAATGCAAATGTCTTGTTTATAAAATAAAAAAAGATGACATACATGATTTCAGAGGATGATGAAGGAATTGGCACAGATTCGACATTATCTGTAGACATTTCAGGTTTTGAAATTTCAGCAATGATGGATATCTTCGCGCTTGTTTGTTCATCCTTCTTCATAGTATCTAAGTTTGGCAAATCAGGATTATCTGGAACTACGGGTTCCAGTGAAATATCTATATCACTAGTGATAGATTCTGTTTTATCCGAGTCTTCTGTAGAATCCTCTCTCGACAAATTATCCGAGACATTCTCGGCGGGCTGGATAAATGGTATACTACAAGTTAAAAATTCATTATTATTTGTTGCAGATCCTGTTTCAACATCAGATATCAAAGTGATTGGTACGATTAACTCTTCGTCCATCGTCTTAATAGGCAATTGCTTCACTTCATTTGACTCGTTATCGGAAGGCTCCGTTTGTTTATATGTACTTTCAAACTGCTCCAATACCTTCTTCACAAATTCAGTTTTTGGTTTACCTTTCACGGGCATTCTGTCAACTTCGCGTTCCGATAACCGAGCAAAATCACCAATTGTGTGCATATCTCTGTTTGCAAAGTATGTAATTAGATGATTTTTCCAAAGAGGATAAGTCAATCGTTCAATGATAGTATTGATAGGTTCCATGCATAATGATAATGTTGGATAAATTGAATGCGTGGAATCAAAAAATTCAGGATCAAGTTCTGTATTATTTGTAATCTCTTGGTTTTGAGGGTCTTGTGTCGAGGATAAACTCTCAAATATGGAGTCCGTTACTGATAAAGTATCCTGTTCCGCCAAGTTTTCTATCGCTTGCGTACTGCTGCGTATCGGCTTTTCACAGAATATCTCGTCTGCATTTACAGTAGAATTTAATTCGGTGATATTCTGGATGTCTACAGTATCCTCCATATTTATCAGATTATCGTCTTTATTGGGTAAAGCGTCTATCACAGAATCATCAGTCACATTCAATTTGATAGAATCTACCGAATTATTCTGGATGACCATATTTATGTTGTTACTCGTCTGATCATTACTCGATTGATCATTACTCGTCTGATTATTATTTGTCTGATTATTACTCGTCTGATCATTCGTGACATTAATCTTTGCATTCATCCCATCAAAGATATCTTGCTGCGTTTCAGTATCTTCCGTTCTGACATCTATCGGCGAAGTGTTGTCAGAATTTTCAGACGATAAAGATCGTTGATCTTGATTTGAGATAATTGGATTCGTAATTGTCTCAATTTCCTGTGCTAATTCTAATTCATGGACAACATCAATCCTCGCACAAAAATTTGTTTTAATAATATTACTACTTTCTAGAGAATCTGCAAGTATTTGTTCATCAATATTCATAGCTTCTGCATATGCTTCAGATATTTTATTAATTAGTGATTCATTCTTTTTCTCGACCTCCGCCGTTTCAGTACTGTTTTCATCCTGAATATTATCCTCATTCATTTTCTCTGCGTCATCAAATGATACAAGTTTAAGTTTGGTTTGCTTGAACTTAATCGGAGAATCCTTCTTCGGCATGGAACGTGTCATTGAATATTTAATCGTTTTTTGTGCAGTAGTGATTTCATAGCCCATTTCTTTTGACACCGGAGGATCTGCAAAACTAACTCGCTTTCGCTGTAACTAAAAAAAAATATCAAAATATATTTTAAATCTATAACTTCAAAATAAATTTTAATAAAAAGTGTCTTAAAATAACATACAAAATAAAGATGTAATATGAGATAAAAAATAATCTTTAATTTAGTTTATTCTTCAGAAAACACAACATACATATAATAATATAAAATGTACAGAAAATACCTTAGAAGTTGAAATATCTGAATCTGATTCATGACCAGATTTAAAATCTGGTAGACTTGACCGATTACGTTTAAGAATACTAGCACTTGGAGATGCGGTTAAAGAAGGTGGATTAGCACTTGACCATTCCAGTATTGGTAGATCCTCCTTTTCATGTAATGATACATTTCTTTCATTTTCTTTGTCAGCTGAACTTTCCGTTGATAAGGAATCTGATGCATTCAATTTAAATGAAAGCTTCTCGCCATCGTTTTTCAAAGTAGTGAACGTATGTGTCGATGAAGATGCGGAATAATCAGTCGATCTCATATTGCTGAAAATCTTTTCTTGCCGACTGCCAGAAGGCCCACCTATTTTATCTATTTCTTTAATCACGGATGTCTTTTTATTTGTTGATATTTCATTCTCTGTATCCTTCGTTTTCAATTTTTTTACGGATGATTCTTCCTCTAATACAACAGGGTTATCACTTTCGAGTAGCGCCTGATTCGTGACTAAACCCAGCATATGAGCAGCACGCCCTGTGAAAGGTTTCGGTTTAGAAAATATTTTGCTATTACTTCTTGGCGAAGAAAAGGTAATTACACTTGTAGATTTAATCGATGATGAATTGTCAATTGTTTTTTGATCTTCTAAAATTAAATTCATATTAGAATTATCAGTTTTCTCAACCGAGTCTTTATCTGTGTTATTTGTGTTTTCTTCGTTTTTCGTTTCTGTATTACTGTCAGGATTAGTTTCATCTAATTCGTCACATGGATCAGATACATCATTATCATCGCAATCTATGGGAACAGATTCAGGTACATAATTTTTATCAACCATCGCATCAGAAGTTTTAGTAGCATAGACATTAGTCATTTTATCAATCTTGATAAAACATTGTTTTTCGCTACATATTTTATCTAATTTTAAACTGACGTTAGGAGCTTGCGAACTTTCAACGACATCTTCGATTTCATCTTGACTCTGTTTGCTTAGTTTCGCAAGTCTTACGTTTGAGTTAGATTTCAAATTATCTTCACGTCTTTCATCTTCACTAATATTATATTTTCCAGTTTCACTAATATCAGTTTGACTGGATGTCGAAATTAAACGAGTCATACCTGTATCAACATTTTTAAATTCAGATACCTTATCAGTAATATCATTGGACTTAACATCTTTATCTTTATTGACGTCTTTATTAATGTCTTTGTTAATTTCTTTATTAATATCTTTATTAACATCCAAATCATTTTTATTAGGCTCTTGTTTGCTTCGTCTACTTCGTCTCTTAGCGATTTGATCTGTATCATCTACATCTTTTGTATTTCTCTCCTGCGCTTTTGGAGATCTCTTTGATCCATCAGCAGATTTCGCATCTACGACGGATTTCAATTTAAAGCTCTTATTATCAGGTATCCCGTATTTCCTTAATCCATGTACTACCGTTTCACCTTCATCCAAATGTTTGACTCGACGGCGATTTATTGCAGGACAGTCAAATACCATATCAATCTTTAAACGAGATATTTCATTTTTTACACGTTGACTCACATTATCCATATTTATGTCAGGAAAAATGTCATTACTTCTCGATGATTCACCACTATTATCGCTTTTAAATGTAATTAATTTTCGTTTTCGACGTTGAGCGCTTCCAGTATCTGATTCAGTATCCGACAACTTACGTTTAATGCCTTTCTTATTTTCATTAACATTTTCTTTAATATCGGTGTCATCATCTGACTTCTGTTTACTATTTGTACCAGGTTTCCCCTGAGTAGTCTTCATTCTTAATGTTCTATGTATATTTGTTATACTTGAATCTTTTTGAGTTTCGACAGTTTCATCGTCTTTTAATGAAGTTGATTTTGTCATGCTATTACGATTTCGTCGTTTAGTACTGTCTGACGGAGATGATTTTTCTTCATGCATTTTATCATCTTCGGGAAACTCATCCCGAGATTCAAAATTCAATTTTTTTGGAACAGATTCTATTGTCATTATAACATCTTCATTTTCATCTACTTTTGATGTAGTATCTTTTTCACTGGTAGATGCTACATGTGAAGACAAATTCGTTTGTTTTGATGTATCCTGCTTTTCGTTAGATTCATCGATTTTCAATTTTTTCATTGCATTTTCATTTTGCTTAATCTCGACAGTATTTTCCTCAATATTTTCCAACTGGTTACTACAAACATTATCAGCTGTTTTATCTGTCACATTAGAAAGTTCTATTTGTTTATCTGTAACTTTATTTTCCTTATTAGCATCATTATCAATGGCTTTCTGCATTGTAGAATCGCTCTTTTTATTGTTGACTTTATCGATTTCATTAATCTCTTTGGCTTTAATATCAAACCATTGTTGCAAATTTTGAGAATTTTGCGAGGATGATTGAGAAAGATCATTATATAATGCCGGTATATCATCTCTTTTCCTCTTCAAAGTTTCTTTTTGATGCTCAGTCAAACGATTAACATCAAATTTCAGATCTGTTTTTATATACACATAATCCTATAACAAATTTAAAAATATAAAAAATATTAGCTAAATAAATACAAAAACATTTTCAATGTAAAATAAAAAAATATTATTTACTTGCGAATTGGGTTCAGGTACTACAAGTGTATTTTTATCACTTTTTTCAGATGATTTACTGGATACTGATTTTGTGATATTTGACTTTTTATTCAAAAAACTTCCGACTATATGCATCTCCTTTGTATCTCCTGTTTGTGTCTTTTTCTTCATATCAGGTTTTATATAAGATTTTTCTTTTAGTTTTTCTGTATGTAGTTTTTCTATTTCATCTAAAATGCATTTAGCGGTACTGTCCAAGTTATTCCTAATTTTAAAAATAGATTGTGCCGAATATTTTATATTTAAATTAGTATGATGCAAGGCTGTTACAATTGCGTGTTTGTACGACGATAAGAGTTCGTGATCTAATTTTTTTAGTCCTTTAAAAATACTGACAATACATTCCCATGTGGCTGTAACCTACAAATAAAATTGCCAAAAATAAATAACTAGATAATGTAAAAATCAAATGCTTTGTGAAAAATATTGATGTCGTACTTCTTTAACCAACCCCACTACTTTCGATGAAAGTATAAGTTCCATCACTGATTTACAACTATATAGATATGACGTTATTTTTTGCAGACTATGTCCATATATGGTACTAAGTAAAGCTGTTAATGCTTTTAGAGCGATTATAGTGTTACGAGTGTTTACATTAACAGAATCTGTTATGACGTCTGTTATTAATAGTAAAATGGATGGAATTTCATCTTGAGCTAAAACATAAATTATGCGAAAATATATATTATCATGTTCTGAGTATTAATATTAGCGTTTTATATAAATTATTTATTCTACATACTCAACAAAGACTCGTAATTAACAGTGCCCAATAAGATGTCTAAGCAGTTTGCAATAAAAGTACAACATTTTGTATTTGTACTTAAACAATTCCGCATCATGTTTGCAGTATCGAGTAAGATTTTATTTGGTTTCATTGTAGTTACCAAATCCGAATGCAATTCGACTTCTTTGTACATAGTTTTCCACACTATTACTGATTGATTCGTTTGAGCCTATTATATATAAAAAGCAGTTTTCAGCAAATTATAGTACTAAAGAAAATATATTTAAAATTATACAAACCTGCGTCATATCGTCCAGATATACAGGAAATGATAAAACTGATAACATAATTTTAAAGTTATCCTCACCATTGATTTCAGTGCTTCTTATGTATTTTGTAAAAATTTCTGCTATTATACACCATAAATCTATATAAACTGATTCTTTAGTACTCCTGAAACACATTGTTGATTAAACAATTAAATATATTATTAAAATTATTTAAACTTACTTTTTGTTAATATATACTGATTTCAAATTTTCCATTATTGTTTCTAGAAACCCAAGCACACCTGAGGAATATGAAAATTCTGAACTAACACATCGCTCCAGAAGGCACTTGATTGTATTACTGTCTTGATTCCTATAATACGGATTTATAAATGTTTTATATAAAATATATACTACATACAAACATATTGACAATTAATGTAAGTTACTTGAATAAAATGTGTGACAACACTTCATCGAGTATTGGCGACGTTAACAATTTTAATACCAGTTCTGGCAATGCATTATCATGAAATTCAGTTTTTTCGATAATGCAATTAAGACTTGGCAAAACTACATCAAATATCATATTTCTCACCATGAGTTTGTCTATATGGTTTCCCAATTCAGTTACAACTACTATCACATCTCTATACAAATGGTCCTGTAAAATTCAGTAAAATTCAGTATGTAAAATAATAGTCAAAATTCTTATTTTATATACATGTGTTTTGTGTCACAAGAACAAGAAAGTTAAACATATATTAATTAACCTTTGTTGTAAGTTTAACAGTTCGTATATATATCATCAAACTTGTCCATAGCGTTTTACCAAGCTGAAAACGATATTTCATTTCTTTATCTGTAATTTGACCAAGAATGAGCAAGGCCTCTGCTATACTATGAATAATGCTTTTGGAACATTCTCGAAATACATCATAAGATATAGCATGAGGAAGTCTTTCTTCTAACATTGGAGAACAAACTGAAACAAGATCTTCCTTTGCGACAAGTAATTGACCCAAAGCATCCACAGCAACCATTTTTGTTTTAAAAAATCTTTTGCCTGGAGAAGCAACAACGTCAAATTTGGAAGAAAGCAATGGTGTATCCCCAAGTGGTCCAAAGCAATAATTTAAAAATTGTGTGATAACGGGAGTAGCAAATTTCTCAATATCTCTATACAATTTAACAATTAAATGCCACCAAACTTCTAGTTTTGTCAATGCAATTAATTCAGTTTTACTATTCTTTGCATTTAGTGGAATACAGAGTAATTTTATTCTTCTAGCAGTAGCAAGTTCTTGATGATCTAAAGCGAAATTGTCAATCAATAATCTCCACGAAAGAAAAGCTTGTCTGCAATATAATAAAAAATCGATTAGTTTGTCATAGATAATTAAGAATTAAAATTTAATTGTAGAGCTGCAATATAATAGTTTCACCTGCGTATAATAGGATCAGTAGACTTGAAGGCCTTTTCCTCGACACTCAGTAAATTATTTATAAGATTAGCACCACGATGAAGATCTGTGCCAAGGAATTGGATAGTAGTGTTCCATTGTGTAGTCCAATCCAGTTCACATGCCGCTACTAACAGCAACATGCGTTTGTAATATGCAGATTGTAAATTGGTCTTATATTGTGTCCATATATCAGGATACTCTTTACAAATATGAGCTGACGAATTTGTTGTAAGAGCTTGTTGCAAAAGTTTCAAAGCGGGACCCCGCTGGCGCTTGTGTCCCATATAGGCCAATGTTACAACTTTATCCATCAGTAATGTATCAAACTAAAAAAGAAAAAAAACAAATATTTCCAATTCTGAATGTAATTTGAAAAATTGTTCATGACATCATATTTATACCTTTTGAACACTTTGATCAAATGTTATAGAAGCCATTCTGTACAATCTTCTCAAAAGAGCAAGTGCACTATAGTTTACTTCTTCCTCTAGCTTTTGTTCATCCGATAAAAGCTGTTGTTCAATCTTTGTCAACATTTGCAAATTATCCACACATGCTGTTGGTGTTAACCATTCCATTAAAGTAGGCTGTATATTAATCAAGCAGCTCTTAAAAAAATTTAGAGCTTGTCCGTCATTAGCAGCTGCAGAAATAGCATTGTCATCTAATACCTCCAACAGTTTGAATATTTTTAATCTAAAATCAAGGGAGAGACTAGTATTTTGTTACATTATATAGAATGTATAAATTTTTATAACAAATTTAACCAAACAAACCTTGTTTTTAAGTCTGTCTGTAGCATTGATTCAAAAAGATGTAAAGAATGTGTACGAAACTCATGCATGATGGTATTGAATGCTGCCAATGCTTCAATTTGAAAGGTTCCATCGCTCTTTGTGAACGATTCTATAACCAGCTTTAATAAATCCTTGTATCGTTCTTCTTTAATAATACCACATGTCTCTAACTTTCTAGCTTGACTATAAGACAAACATAGAGTCTTTATTGCAAGACATCAAGGAAAATTTTTTATCACATATATACACGCAAATATATTCAATATCTTTATTCAATAATACAAATGTATATATAATGTACATAATATATATTTCTAAGTAATACAATGTTATTGCGTTCCATTCGTGATCTTATACTAAATCAGACAAATCTTCCTTGGTAAATTTATAGTGAACATTAACAATATTAACAACATTAAAAATCTAAATTTTTCAATTTTATATTTATTCAAAATTCATTCTATAAGACAGTTAAATTTACAACATGAAAAAAAGATACTGTTAATAAATCTTTCTGTAAGTTTTTTTTTTCCTCTTTCATATTTTCTCGCAATTTTTTCCTCTTTTCTCTCGAATCCTAACTAACACGAGATAAAACAAGATGCAAAAAATATAATGTAGTAAAGGCTGCTTTTTTTTAGAGACATAGTCCACACAAATGACATTCTAAATATTATCTTCTTGTGACATTAAATAAATAACAAAGACAAAATGAAAAGTGACAAACTCGTGTCACTGTATTTTTTGAAAGGCAAGCAGTCGGAGTCAGATCCGATATCCATAATCTTTACAATTAACTGAATGATTGTTGCCTCGTTTATCCTAATCTAACGTTCACCTCGTGTGTCAAACATGGGGATCTCATCGCAGTACTTGGTTATGTTATCCTCGTCTCTCTCGGAGCATACTCGCGATAATTTTACCTGGCGATATAGAGCAAAGCATCGCGCTTGTCCCTGGTATTGTTATTATCTCGCAACGCCTTCAGCATTCTCTGGAAGGTCGCATTCGAGGTCGCCATCTCGTTGCGTCTCCTTTCTTTTGCTTGCCTTCCACGCAACAATCCGATTACCGATCACTATTCATCTCACGCCGCGCGCGCGAACCGGCGCGACTCTTCTTCTCAGCCACTTCCAAATAGGTTTTGTACGTGCTGACTTCCACAACCTGGATACCGAGTTTTCGTTGCCAGGAGGGCGAATATGTCCGACACTCCGAAGCTTACTGCGGCGCTTTCCTAACAGAGAGGAGGGAGTGGAAGAGAGAGAGAGAGAGAGAGAGAGAGAGAGAGAGAGAGAAAGAGAGAGAGAGAAAAAGAACAAGCAATTCTCTCCGCGTCACAAATCGGGAAGCGATTCCGTCCGGAACACAAATATACCTGTATTGCGTGTGTCTGTACTGTAAGATCTGTAAGCAATGCAACACTGCACTGTCTGCACGGTCCTCAGAATGTTCTACTTTAGGACAAGGTGGGGAAGACCCTGAGTATCGGTCGTTTCCCACAGACCAAGGTTCTGGTCTTCTTGTTCCTTTTCCTTTTCCGTATAACGCGGCAGCATTCGCAAATTTTCGTCGCAATCAAAGCAGACTACTCCACAGTCGAGTCCGACAAACAAAAGTGGAGAACCGCGTTTGTTTTGCCCGCACGCAGCTTCGCGCGCCAACCGAAGTTCACGAAGGCGCTCGCGTGGCCACCGTGCTGGCACCTTGTCCGCCTTGTCTCACCCCTTCTAAGTTAGCTAATGTTTAGTTTTAGCGGGAAGCGACCGAGAGCGATCCGGGAAAGAAGAATGGAGGAGGGAGGAAGATAGTCAAAAAGAGAATGAGACAACCAAAAAGATAGCGAGACTAATACAGAAAAATATCTGCAATAAATTTCAATTTGTCATTGCGATGACGCAGAAATACAAGTATAGACTCTCAAGAGAATTTTGCACATCTCTTCTCAATAGGATGTATTTCGAATCGAAATTGAATTTTTCGTCCTGAAAGTCAAGATTTCGATGCATTCTTCCTTTAATCGTTCGTACGGTATTATGATTCCTCCTGCGTTTCTTACTTTTTCAGCCTCCTGTCCCTTCTGATTCCTCATCCATCAGATCCATCTCCGAAAGACGCGCGCATGTTGCGCAGAAGGTATCTCCCTTTAATCTACCCCTTTAATAAATCTCTCATCTACATGTGTATGTGCATATCGTATATATATATGTATAATATATATATGTGGGTGTGTACAAACATAATTTCTGTTTCAGCAAAATGTGAGAACGCAATTGCGCATTTTGAAGACGCGTGATAGAGAGAGAAAGAGAGAAATCGAACACGTGGTGTTAGGTGTATCGACGCATATTCTTCTCATCTAGCTTTTTCTTTGGTAAGTTCACTTTGTCGCTACTTTTTTCTACTCCTTCTTCTCTTTTTCCCCTTCCGAAAATTTCTTTCATGTATTCATAGTCATAGCTTGGTCGATTCTCGAACAATTCACAAATCGTTTCTCCATCCCTCTCTTCATTTCATAATAATCCTAATTCTTTAGAATTATATCAAAACTCGAAAAGTAGGAAAGATGTCAAGGGAAAAAATTCAGAAAAAGACATAGGAAATGTCGAGGGAAGAAATTCAGAAGTAGATATGGGAAACTTGTTTTCCATTGAAAAATTTGCAAAACGTCGAATTATGAATTTTAAAAATAAACGGATCGTATGTATATCGATATTAGAATTTGTGTATAAAATCTGAATATTTAATATAAGTTTACCTACTTTAAAAATATATATGATTTATTTGGAGTAACAAAGAGAGTAAGATAAGAGTGCAGAGAGCATATGTTATATTTATGAACCATTATGTCCAGTTTTTAAGCGACGAATACGATATTGGTCCGATCATTTTAGCTACACATTTTCTGAATTTAAATAACTGAAATAAATTCATGTATATGGAAAGAAAAAAGAAATGTAAACAAAGTGTAAAAAAGTGCAACCAAAGTAAATAGCCCTTGTCTCTTGTTTATCTCCTGCAAACTTTATGATCAAAAATAGCGAGAATAAATGTCTTCTTCTTTAATGATTAATTATTCGTGAAAATTAACTAAAAAAGGACATTTCGGAAACTTCTTGATTTTTTCATTTTGCAGGAAGAAGAATTCATTTGGCACAATATCTAAAAATTTATCGCAAATCATGCTTGTATAACATTATCTCTTTAAACCTCATATATGCTCGTAAAAGAGGTTAGGAATAAATCGTCCCGTGTCAATGTTACAGTGGAAAAAAGCGTTTGTCTTTTAATATTTTTATTAATGAAGTTATACAATAGTTATACAAACTTACTAATATGTATATGCAATTAGTAAGTTTCGTAAGCATTGATTTTTTATTTATTTAACAAGCATTGATTTTATGCTTTTGTATTTATTTAACAAGCATTGTTTTATGCATACATACACACATACACACACATATGCATGTGTGTGTATATATATATAAAACATTTATATATAAAAAATTGTATGCGTTACATGTATTTATTTTTACAGGCTTCCTGTGGTTATATTGAAGGCTTGCAAAGTCATATAAATCTTGCTGTTTCACGACTAACTAGTCACACGTTAATACGCCAGTAAACGGCGGAATGAGCGTGCGTATGCAAAAGTTACTTTTGTGCGCGCTCGTACTTCTAGGCATCATCTATTTCTGTACGAATCGGCATGGGAATGATAAAGATGTATCTCTGAAGCAGCTTCTCGCCGCTGCGATAAGAGCGGCAGAGATTGGGGGACTGCAAGTGATAGCAGTGCATGATCAGATTAAATTCAAAATAGAGAGCAAAGGACAGACGAAAGAAGGTAACATTGATATAATTTGATATATATGTGATGATACATTAGATAAGTTTGTAACATTTCTATTTCTTGAATTATGTTTTTATATTATATAATCTGTTTTTTTTAATTCAATGAACTTTGATATAAAACAGTGATGTATAATGATTTTTCTTCTGTATCTCTTTTAAAGGCGTAAATGATCCAGTAACAGCAGCAGATTATAGGTCTCACTGTGCTATGTATCGCTCTTTGACAGAAGCATTTCCAGGGATTACTGTGATATCAGAAGAAACATCGCAAGATTGTGATAAAATTGTAGTTGAAGACATTAAGAATTCTGTTAAAAGTATTGAAGGTTATGATATAAATGACGATATTGCAAATGTTAATGATGTAACAATCTGGATAGATCCTCTAGATGCCACCAAAGAATTTACAGGTAAAGATACATTTTTGCCATTATAAATTCCAATACTTCTAACAAAATTACTTTTCAGGTCATTTATGGCAAGAAGTTATGTTTAAGATGACCAATATTTATGCATTTTTATGTTTGAACATATTCATGTTACAATCAATAAGTTGGTCACAAATTTCACAAGATATTCTAATCAAAGATAATTTATAAACAATGAATACAAAGAAAATGTATTACCTGCAATTGCAATTTGAAATTAATATTTTCGCGATTGTTTATGGCTAGATGTTGAAACATCGATTGTTTTCAGGATCAAACAATAGAATTTTTTGGACCTAATATAATACAGAAAATCATGTCCAGTTCCAATAATAATATAAACTCTATATGAACAATCTCAGAAATATTAAGAAGTTGCGGGTAAAGCTTATTCCTTAATAAATAATTTAATGTATAGATGCAGTAATTTGACATATAATTGAAAACTTGAAAAACCATTAAAATATCAAAACTTTGTACCAGATCCATCCAGTTCTTTTTTTTCAAATGTTAGACACAAAACTTTTTGAACAAATTAGAAAGATATTCAATGGTTCTGGAACATTTTATATTTATAGTTTGATGTAGTTTCTTACCAACCAAGTTTGACAGTTTTTGCATAATGTCTTGTGTATGTTTTTAGAAAATTTACTGCAATATGTATCTACTATGGTATGCATAGCCATCAAAGGACAACCAATTATTGGTGTTATATATAAACCGTTTGAGACAAAACAGAATTACAGTTTATTCTGGACATGGAGCAATCATGGCGTATCAAGAAACTTGAAAAATTTACCTAAGGTAATTGTGAAAGTAATTTAATAAAAAAAAGTTATAATCAATTTTGAAAAATTATTTAGTTAATCTTTGTTGAACAGGTAAAAGACAATAAAACACCTATTTTAATTGTATCTCTTTCACACGCTGGACAAGTAAAAAATACATCTAAAATTGCCTTTGGCGACAATGCTAAAATTATTTCTGCTGCTGGTGCAGGTGAAAAATTTTTTCAATACCGTTTTATTTCTATAATTCGCTATTAAAGACTTGTGATTAGTGAAGATAATTTGCACATGATGCATATTTTTCTAATCATTTAATTTCCTCATTGTTTTTAATTTTTCATTTTTCAGCCCCATATTCTTTTCATGCCTTCAATTTTTGTCATTAGCAATTTTATATAGAATACACAAATATAAGACATTTCATTTTAGGATACAAATTTTTGGAGGTAGCTGCTGGTAATGCGACAGCGTACGTTCATACAACTGCTATCAAGAAATGGGATATATGTGCAGGCACTGCAATTCTTAGGTATTGCTATCTAAGTATTTTGCCTTAATACTACATAATATTTATTTGTTATATATTTATTTCTTATATTTCTTGTAGTGCTTTGGGAGGAACAGTGACACAGTTATACGATCAACAACCAATCTATTTTGGAAGTAATGACGCCAAAGTACTTACAAAGGGTCTTTTAGCAACTATGAGCGATCATGCTTGGTATTCCGAAAAATTCTTACATGACTTTCCATCCGATTCACATTAATCAAGAATAACTTGACATCAATGTATTAAAAAAAAATTAATTGTATATATTAAATTCTGTTTATAAAAGATTCGTGTTTTAAAAAATATCAATATGTGCTCATGTACGTAATAAAATCACATATCTTCCAACAGCTGTCTTAATTTAAGAATTTATTGTAAGAAATATTTGTCATAAACTATGTATTAAAAAAGACTTTTATATAATAAATGAAATAATAGTCATTTTATTATAAACTTTTATACATCCACACGTAATTATGAAATTTATGAATGATAAAAAAAACAAAAAATTGATATAGATAAAAGACGCTAGCATTAATTTACTGTCATACATTTAATAAAAAAATTTCAAAAAAACTGCTGATGAAATGTTTTTTTATTATTATATAATTTTTGTTTATTATATAATAATTATTATATATAATTTGTATAAAGATAAATGATAACTAAAGTAATTTTACTTTATTTTCTGAAATACATATTGCAGTTGATTTTTCTAACTTTTCTATTGTTTTGCAAAACTTTGCAATAGCTTTTTTATATTCAGTCAGTTTGAAGGTATCACTTAAGCTAAAAACGTAACATATATATTTTTTCATAACCTTAGTTTGTAGTTTTTTTAAAGGAATTTCACCTTTAGATTGTAAAACATCTAAAATAGTTTTCTTCCAATGGAACATAGCAACGTCACTTCTATTATCCGAACTAGATCGTTTACTAATTTTTGCAATTATTTGATCTTCCTCTGATTGAATGCTGATTGATTCCAATTTCCGTTTTTTAGATTTACTTCGTCTCTCATGTAGGTAACCGTTAGTTATCCCACATGCTTCATCATTTCCATCTTGATGATTCACAGAATTATTTTCTTTGCATATATTTTCATTATTTTGATTTTCAGCGAGATTTTGATTGTCAAATGAGTTATTAGAATCTATATTTTGGAGACATGTCATCTCATCTATAAAGAAGAATAAATATATGACTTGTGTGTATTTTATAAATTCTTATTATATATAATATTAAATCTTTCTTTTAGCTGAACTTCTTGCATGATTTATCTTTCTTCTTTTTTCACTTTTTTGAAGAAAAAAATGAACTATGCAAGTTCAGCTAAAAAAAACAGACTTACTCGTTCTTATATAATTCATATTGGGTCTATTTTTTGTAGATGAATTTGAATATATTTAAATATAAAGACTGTTTTCCTTTCAGGGGACACAATCGACTCAAATATTGTTCTATCTTTTTTAGCAATCAATAAATAACGAAAAAATCTTTCCATTTCGTGATACAAGTTGACAAATATCATTTTATCTTTGTTACTCATGGAATATCAAGACATTTGTGTCAACTTGTGTCACTAAATGAAAACTTAATGAAACGACACTTGTATCGATTGTGTCTTATAGAAGGAAAGTAGTCAAAATAAAATAGATATATCAAAAGTTTGGCAAAAGCGACATAAAAAGTTTTAATATAATTCAATGCAATGATAAAAAACAGATCTACAAAGAATGTATTCCAAAATTCACTCTCAGTGCTGAAAATTATAGTGCATATAATATAAACTAGAGATCTTTAGTGCTGGCAGTGAATTTTGACACAACCATAAGAAATTCTTCCATTAAATAAACAAATCTATTATAAGACGAACATTCACCTTTATTCTGTTCCTGATTTTGTATAGGATCTTCTGAAACCTTTGTAATTACTTGTTGACTCTGCTTATGTGCATTCTCCATTTTGCTCCAAACGCTCTCCACGATTGTTGCATTTATACGATTGCCTATCGCATTGTGCACAAAGTTAAGAAATTTAGCCTTCTTTCTTGGTATATTCTCATATTTTGACAAGGTATTCAGAAAGTTCCGTTCTAAGTGTGATAATTCTATTGTCCCAGTCAGCAAGTCATTAACAATGTTAATCCATTCTTGCTGTTTGCGCTCGCCCTTATTTGCGCTAGGTTTTGGAACATAATCTTTTGCGCCATATCTTTCAGCTTCAGTGATACATTTAGTGTGTGTAACATACTCGTCATTTCTTAAAGTTAAAAATATTAATGTGATTATTAATATCAGCTGACGTTGGAAACTTATTAAATATTTAGCAAAGATATGTTATTGATTCTTTTAAAATTTGATAGTATTTCGAACATGATATTCAAATGATAAGAAAATTCTATTTCAGGTTTCTATAATTTCTTCGATTTCTGCATCTCAAGATCCGTAAAATATATTTCAGAAGAATATATTTCAGAAATATCTGAGGTTGTCCCTACATTAAAAAAAGAGCTACTTCTTTCAATTAAATTTTTACCGAAAATCCTTTAGGCAGTCCACGCAGGTCAGGAAGGGTGAATTCCGGCATTTCTGCTGATAATGTATAGCCACTTTGGGCTTTCTTAATGAATCGCCGCAATGGTTGCAAGTAAATACAACCATATTGTGATTTAGTTATTTATACAATTACGTTACAATATTAATTGAAATAATGATCAATATGACGAATATATCAAGTAATTTCAACTTAACCTACAAAAACAACGCCGGTACTAAATGATACTAACCAAATAGCACCAATCGAGTGTCACGTGTCACGTGGATCTAAAAAGAATATGATTTCATATACAATCGTCGAAATCCGTACATTAGCGCCAGTATATATATATTTTCGATATACGAACTACATAGCTACGTATTGGCGATAAAATCACGATATCGTAAATAAATGTGGTCCGAATCCGTACTAAATTGTAGTGCTAAATTATATGCACTAGATTACTTTAAAAAGTGTAATATAAATTATAATTGCTTTATTATTTTATAAGATCAATTTTTCTTTCATACTGTGTCTCTTCAATTCCATTCTTTAGTCTAAATTTTTTTATTTTCAGAAAGAATATAATTTCCGTATTCAGAACGCGCTTTCAACATTAACTATGTGTTAAATACACGCTAACATAAGTGTTCTGAATACATACAGGATTCTCCGGAAAATATCTCCAATTCCAAAAAAGACTAAGGACTGAGAATCTGTGCATAGCGTTTATATATCTTATCTGAAAGCTAGCGCGATTCAATAAGTGCTTGAATATAGCAAGACTCGTGCTCATTGGTTGGTTTGAGAATAGTGGGGTTCGAGATTCCGCGGCTCCTATAAATAACGTGTAATTCGCGATCTCGCATTTTTGCGACTTTACGACTCTGCGGTTCGGTCGGGGGATAGGCTTGCTAGTCCTGTAATATTACGTTGAAATATCTCACACTCCTGACTTCGAATTGCGGACCTTTTCTCCTGAAGTATCCTGATCTCCAGAAATATTGTTCCTATAGAGAATAATAAAACGATGGAAAACGGCTCGAAGGATTGCGCATTCGAATTATATTAACAATACTAACATATATACTAACAAGGTAACATAAATATTGTCAAATTTCTGATTCTTTCACATGCGACGCGAGAAATGTTTAAGAACCGATCACTTTTTCGAACTTTTAACATGTCTTATGTGTAAATAAAATATTTAATGTTACGTAATATGTACATAATTATTAATATCGCTATGTTTTCGCGTGAATTTCCTATAATATTTTAAATATTACGTAATGTAGATGTAATAGGACTAGTACATTGGTTGTTCGATCGAAATTTTCCGCAATATTTTCATTCAGTTGAATCAAATAGTACGCCGCATTAACTTTGATGATGCATGAGGTTGACCGCGCGCACAAAATGACGCTACTTCGTCATCTTAATAAGATCGCAACGAGTGACAGATGACAGGCGTCACGTCTTGTCCGTCGATCTGTATTAATTTTTTTTGCGCGCGGTTAACTTTATGCATCATCAAAGTTTACGCTTTATTACTTTTGATTCTATGAAACGAGTATTGCGAAAAATACTTTTGGCGTAGCGTTTAATTGGTAAAAAAACTTATATTATCATTGTACTTCCATTTGCAATATTCAACTGACGCGAAATATCAATTTCATGCTCATATATTACTAATATAATTATTAAAACGCATATTTCAATATTTATCCGATTGAAGGTGTATTGTAATATGAATAATTGACAAAGCAACTTATTACGAATGTCGCGAATATCTTATCATAGCCAATCTATCCCGAGCTGTCGCGTCCTGTAAATGAAACGTGTCGCGTTGAATAACGAGAAGACTTCGTTTCCTGCGCGGACCGCAAGCAACTTCACGCGTCAAAAGTGACGGAGCGACGACGATGCTATGCGTCCTATTCTTCATATATTTCGAGCATAAATAGTATACGCGCATTGCATTGTAATAGAATAGACGTATTAGCTATGTTTACATTGCATTTAGAACATAACCTGTACAATAGGTATTCTTGTTTATCCTGTAGGTTAAACAAAGATACTTATCGTAAATGTAGCTATCATTAGATATATTGGCTCCGGATGAGGTGGCGTCGTTACTCATTTAATAAGCGAAACTTGCATTTATTTACTAACTTCTATATTTTTTCACTGAAATATAATAAATTTCGATAATTGTATGATAATTTGATCGAACGCGCATTTCGCAGTAAATTTTATATCAAAAAATTTAATTTCAAATCATAAATAAAATTACTTGCGTACGTAAACTTAAAGAAAATTATTCTTCAATATATTTATCTTAGACATTATTCACATTTGAACATATTCGTATATATTATAGATTAGTGTTGTACAGAAGTACTACACTAATTCCGTGATTGTGTATCGTGTGTGCAACCTAATAAGGATCTAATAATTTGTGAGAAGTTAAAGGAAGAAATTTGAAAATCTGAAAGGAGAAGGAGATGTAGGAGAGACATCAATTGCCGATGAAGCAACTTTGCGGTAAACATCATAGTTTACTTATAATAAAATTAGCCTCTCCTTTCCGTTTATTCGGATTATTTTATTTCGATTTAAAAATAATAATTAGACAGAAAACAATTAATCTGAAACACTGAAAAAGTTAATTTTCATGGAGATATTTTTTGAACAATCATTTCAATAGATATTTAATTGAAAAGTGATTTAAAAATTCTGCGCATAAAAAGTAGTCTTTTAAATCATTGATTATTTTGAGCATTTTAATTTGTAATTCATGTTTATATGTTGTAGAATCATCATAGCTATGTGTGATCGATAACTCTACTTACGCATCGTTCGGTGAGTGATAAAATTTTTTATTAATGAGGTAATGAATTTTA